CCAGGAGTGGGTGGGTAGAGAGGGAGTGGGAAGTAGGTGCCTGGAGATGGGGGCCTAAGAGCCCTCAGGAGCCCCCCTCCCTGTGGGCACTGGCAGGCTGAAAAGAGTCATTGTGGAAAAGAGGAAGAGCCTCTCTGGGGTGGCTAATTACAGGCCCAGTTCTTCCAGATCCCAGCAGCCTCTAAGTGGCCATTCTTCTGCAGAAGAAAGGGGAGTCCAGGGCCCCGTTAAGGCTTGCATACTGGGACTGCAGAAGGTGTCTTGGAGGTCAGTTGGCCTTCTGAGACTGCTGGTTCCCTATGTCTTCCTCCACATTCAAGGGGCACAGGCCCTGCCACCTAGCACAGCCTCGCCTGAAGTTTTGGAAGCTATTAAAGATGGGAGTCCAGCCCTGTCTTTCTATGCATGTTTAGACTCGGCTTCCCCAAGTGTAAAATGTGGATGTCGTCCAGTCCTGATATGCTAAGATGCTACGACCATCTCTGAAGAACAGAGACCAGAATGCTTCTGGAAAGTCTAAGCATCAGGAGGTCTTGCCTTCTGTCCTGACACGCAGTACATAGTCCATCACGGCTTCCCTCCCTTCTGGGCATACCAAGGCTCTTTAAGTTGAGTTCAAAAGCTTCAAATGGTCTTTACTTCTCACAAATGAAATCCAGATGAAATAGCCACAGACAGAAGCTGAGTTGCGTTTAATTTCTTCTTATTATATTTAATGTGCATGGGTGTATTGCCTACATATATGTCTGTGCATCAAGAGTACACAGAGCTCACAAAGGCTCCAGAAGAGGGTGCTGGATTTTCTGGAACTAGAGTTATAGAGGATTGTGAGCCACCATGTGGGTGCTGGGAATCAAATCTGGGTCCTCTGGAAGTGCAGTACTCTTAACAAATAAGCCATCTCTCCAACCCTGGCTATGTTGTCTTTATTAATTAATTCACTCATTCACTCCATGATGCTTTAAGCACCTCCTGGGTCCCTACTACTGACCTGGGCACACAAACTGTCACATGTTCCCTAAAGAAACTTCAATAGAGGATGGGTAGGTCATCGGTTGCAACAAGACAGGAAAGGGTACAGGGTAGCCAAGGAGAGCTTCACTGGAACAGCTGAAGGTAAAGGTTTTGTCAGGCTTCAGAAGGAACTGGGCGGTGTGGGCAGAGGAACAACAACAGCAAAGGCAGGCAGTGCAAAGGTACAGGATGGACCTGGCAGGGTGCACAATCTGAGCCTTCCCTAGGAAGCTATCCTGTGGGAAGTGAGCCGGTCTGTAAGGGCAATGCTGTGACACCTGCAGTGGGCCTGTCCAACGGGCATCCAGACACAGGAAGCAGATGGTAACATGCCAGGGAATGGGGGCTGGGGAGGGGAGCTGCTGTTTAATGGGGACAGTTTCTGTTTTAGGAGATAAAGAGTTCTAGAGCTTGATAACCCAGCAAAGAGAACATATCCCTGAACTATACTTTTAAAAACATTGTCTGTTTGAATCTATGTGATTTTAAAAATCATTGGCATTTTGTTGTTGCTTCTTTTCTTCATGTAGCCCAAGCTGACCTCAAACTTGATATGTAGTCAAGGATGACCTTGAATTTCTGATATTCCTGCCTCTACCTCCTGTATTACACTCATCTTTATGTGGTGCTGAAATCAAACCTATGGCTTTGGTGTATGCTAGGCAATTATCCTATCAGCTAAGCTATATCCCCAGACCCATGATTTTTATTGCTTTTTCCTTAAATTTAGTATTACATCTACCTATCTGTCTCCTATCTGTCTCACTATCTACCCACCTATTTATTGTGTATGTTTGTGAACATTTGTTCCACAAATGTCATGTGGAAGTCAGAAAACAAGTTTTTTGAGAGTTGGTTTTCTTCCACCATGTAGATCTCAAGAATAAAACTCAGGTTGTTAGGTGTAGTAGCAAGTGCCTTTACCCACTAAGCCATCCCATCAACCTAGTTTTTATTTGTTTTAAGTACACACACATACACAAAGTGAGAATACCCTAGAGACAGAGTTGGAAGGGGATACTTGGAAAGGGATGGGTCCTAAAAGTATGCTGAAGCCAACAAGCCACCTCAGAGGCTTTGTGAAAACATGGAGAGGGCAGTAGGGAGGATGGCAGTTCTGAAGAGACTGGGAGAACCAACTGGGAAGATACAATTTTGCACATAGGCCTTGCCTGCTGGAGCAGGGTGGGAGGGGTGCAGTGTGCAGAGGTCACCAGGTCTTGGGGTAGGCAAGATGGCTCTTCATCTATGGCATCTCTGGGAGTGGCTTCAGACATATGAGGGAAGAGAACTATTTGTACCAAGCCTCTTGGCTTCAGGATAGGCCTGTCAGAGACAAATCGCAGGCTCCAGTCCATGGCTGGCCACATGCAGGTTTTCAAGCAGCCCTATTCACCCACCATCTCCCCCAAACAGCCATTCTGTGGCCCTTTTCCCTGTGTGACTTACAGATTTCCAAACCACTAGAGCTACAAGATGGCTCACCTACCCCACTGCTGCCCATCACACAGAAGGGGCACCAACACCCAGAGAAAAGGAATCTACTGAACATTGCCTACATGCAGGATCACTTGAGTTTTTCCTTGGAGTCTCCTTAGGGACACGAAGAAACTGAATTTGATAGTTATAAAGGAAGCCTGCTATATATACTGGGACTCTTATCTGGACTTGCCAGTGTCTTTTCCTACATGAAAACGATTTCAGCCGACATGGCTAACTGAATGTAAGCATGCTCTACAGACTCAAAACTGTCGTGCAGCTTCAGGCTACAAAATTTCCCCAGTAGAAGGTATCACAACTTTGGATTGAGCCTAGGACATGTTTTTATGGGAATGTGTAGCTAGACTGTACTCCTTAGGTTCAGACCTCAATTCTCGCTGGCTATTTTTTTCTGGGAAGTGTCTGAACATTCTTCCAGCCTCACATTCTCCATCTAAAAAACATGAAATAGTCATGTAACTTTATAGATCCACAAGAATGTCTGGTGCCCAGAAACTGCTCAGTGGAAAGCATCACTAATGGTAGTAATATTGATACCATTGAATAATGAGGATGAGTATGATTTATGGTGATGGTGATGATAGAGGTGACAATGGTTTGGTTGATGGTGGTGGTGGTGATGTTGGTGATTGTTGGTGTCTAGCTGGTCTAAAGTTCCTTCCTCAAGCACAAACCCTGAACCAGATGTGGCCCTATGACTGTGGAAGACAGTGGACAGGAGATAAAGGCTACAAGGACTGTCCTCCAGGGCAAACATAAGGCCACATGTACAGGGAACTGCAGAAGAAAAAAACTCAGATTAGGAGAAGAGAGAGATTGTTTGCTCAAACTCTACTGCTTGTAATGCCATTTCTAATAGCTAAATAAATAATATATAAACAGCAGTGGGGGAAAAAGGAAAAATGTTCATTCTTGAAGTGAACCCGGAGTCTTGTATTTCCTTCTATCATTGCTCCCCCTTCCCAGCTCTCCGTGATGCACACAGCTGTGCTTGACACAGTAGGGAATAATGGTGGTGATGGTGGTGGTGGTGATGGTGGTGATGGTGGTGATGATGATGGTGATGGTGGTGGTGATGTGGTGGTGATGGTGATGATGGTGGTGATGGTGATTGTGGTGATGATGGTGATGATGGTGGTGGTGATGATGGTGATGGTGGTGGTGATGTGGTGGTGATGGTGATGATGGTGGTGATGGTGATTGTGGTGATGATGGTGATGATGGTGGTGGTGATGATGGTGATGGTGGTGGTGATGATG